AGGTTTTTATCCAAAAGATTGTTTTGTAGATTAGCAGCTACGTAGAAAAAGAAATTGATGGTTGGCAATATTGACAATTTGAGGCAAAAATTAATAGTAATAAAGAAGGATGTGCACAAGTTTGTAAGAGGCTGTGACATTTGCCAAAAAACTAAGGATGAAACCATGAATCCAGTTGGATTACTATAGCCTTTGCCAATACCGCTCAGAGTTTGGGATGAGGTGTGTCTATGGATTTTATTGAAGGTTTGCCAAACTCTTTGGGTCACACAGTGATTTTGGTGATAGTTGACAAGTTGAGCAAATATGCTCATTTTTTAGCCTTATCGCATCCTTATACTACTATTAAAATAGCTTAACTTTATCTGGTGGATATATACAAATTGCATGGCATGCCCAAAGTGATCATAATTGATAGAGATCCAGTGTTCACCAAGTTATTGTGGAAGGAGCTTTTCAAATTGAGCAAGGTTTCTTTGCATCTAACTATTGCTTATCATCCTCAATTTGATGGCCAGGTGGAGGTGGTGAATAGATGCTTGGAAACTTATGTGAGATGTATGTGTGGTGAAAATCCTAAGGAATGGAGTGCCTGGTTACCTTTAGTTGAGTGGTGGTAAAACACCTCATTTCCTTATGAAGTTCTTTATGGTTAGAATCCTCCTTTGCATGTGCCCTATATTTTTGGTGCTTTTCAATTTGAAGCAGCTGATAAGTCCTTACAAGCACGAGAGCACGCATTGAAAATCCTTAGGCATCACCTCTTGCGAGCCCAAAATCAAATGAAACAATTAGTATGTAAGCACAGAGTGGAAAGAGAGTTCTCAGTGGGTCATTGGGTTTATCTGAAACTCACTCTTTTCAACCAGTCTTCTTTGTTGACCAGTCATAGTCACAAACTTTCCCCAAGGTTTTGTGGCCCATTCCAAGTGCTTAACAGAATTGGATCTGTGGTTTACAAGTTGAAATTGCCTACTATGGCTAGAGTTCATGATGTGTTTCATGTGTTTCTTCTATAGCAGAAATTTGGGGACAACGAGACTGTTTCCTTTTTTTTGGAGTCATTACTTGGTCCTGCGCAAGTGTTTTACCCGAAAGCAATTTTGGACAAGAAAATCTAGAATGAGCAAGGGAAAACAATCACTATGTGGCTGATTAAGTGGAAGAATCAAAAATGAAGAAGCCACCTAGGATGTTTGCGCTAATTTCAGGGCTAGATTTCTTGACTTTAATCCCAATCCTTGAGGTCAGGGATTCTAAGGGAGGGTGCAGTTGATATAGGCTCAAATGGTAAGCCAGCACTGCTGACCTGGAGCTAAAGTGGATTTGTGGTTGGCAGGTTATGTTGATTGTGCAAGTGGTTAGAGAGAAACTTGTGAATTAGTTAGAAGCAAGGTTAGATAGTTGATTAGTTGGTTAACAACTACCTCTTGTAATCAACCCTAAATATATAAAGGGACTACTCTGTAATTCTTTTGTTGATTGATGAATAAAAGATGTAGACCATTTTCTCTCATCTCTTGTTCCCCCTCCCTTTCTAGTTCTTATTCCTCCCTAGCTATGTTTTGTCCTTCCTTCTTGATTCTTAATTCTCTTGGTACTAGTGTCATCATGGTGTTGGATTGGCAAGAAGAAAGAGGATAAAGAGGGGATGTGTCCGCCCTTTACTCTTTGTAAGTGGGGTGGGTGGCTAGGGTTGGCAGAACCCTAGCCTGGCCCTTTTTCTTTTTATTTCATTTTTTTTCTAGACCAAACAATGTTGTTTCACAATTTTTGTGCTTTTGTCCTTAATTTCAACCATTTGACATGTTGGTCCCTCAAGTTAGTCATTGTCACAATTAGGCCCCTACAAACAAAACCCATATTATAAATTTTTTTCAATTAAGTACAATTTTTCAATGATATTAATCTCAATTTTTCATGTACCAATTTTTGCATTAATTGAAAAATCACATTAAAACTCAAATATTTTGAGAATTTTCCTTTAAAAACATGAAGTATTAGAAAAATTAAGATCTTTTTTTCTTCTTCTTTTTTGAAAGTAATGGAACAAAAATTGGGTTGTAACAATTATGTTTACAACATTTTCCACATGGTTGTTATCTACTTTTAGTAATGTGATGTTTGTTGTTGATAAACAAACTAGAAAATTTATACTTAGCAAGAGGCTACACGTTAGTAATTTAACCAAAATATTAAAAGTTTTTAATGTTGTTAATATTTTTAAGCTAACAATGTAGGCTATGTAGATAAAAATTATTTTATCCAAATATTTTATATCACCAATATTTAAATTTTTAATGGCACCAATATTTTTAATCTAAC